GCCTGTAATATAGCAGAACCATAAATGAATTGTATAAAGGCCATATCAAATTAAAAAAATCAAATCAAATAAAAAAAATGAGTTAGAACAGATAAGATTTTGTGCTACTCTACTTAAAAAGTGCCTAGGTGGAAGGAAGCAAAGGTAGCTTGTATGCCATCTTTGGATCCTTGTAATCCTAGGCTTTCCAAAGGATGGATTCTAATGCCCTCAGCCTCCTTAGGTTACAATGCTATGGGGTACACAGCACTTCTTGGAAACCATCCACAAATTCAGCAGTTTCAAGGACAGACGCCCAGAAGCAGGCCTGTCCTATTACATCTGTCTTCTGAAGTGCATGCACTGGGGAAATTCTCCTTTGACCGGGGTTAGTATTATTAGGGCTCCTTCAGGCTCTTCCAGCATTTTACCTGACAAACTACCCAGAAAAGGGGTGAGGATCTTGCTCAGAGATCCTTAAAACATTCCATTCATTTAATTGGCAATGCCGTGCTATATTTTTTCAATCTTATCATGGGATTTGCTTTCTGAAAGCAGGAACTGCTAGCTTTGCTGTGGCTTTCAGTAGAACGTCATGTTTGGGTAGGTCTCCTAGCTTTTACTTTTTATTTAAAAGCCAAATCAAAATTATATTTAATACTTATGACTTAGTTTAAAAAATGAAAACAAAACCCAAGAATGAATTGGGAATAACAACTTGTGTAGTGCATGTCATGGTGGGGACCACAAACTGAAAAATGTATATGAAAATGACCCAGGAGGTATGTGCATAAAACAGAAAAACCTAGTTATTTGAAGAGAAGGGGAAGAGATGTATATTATGATAAAAATTATTCCATTGTTCTACAGTCGGTTACAGAGAGTATTTTCAAGCAGTCAGTCATTCCGATATTTCATAGACTTCATAGATTTCATGGACGTTAGGGCTGGAAGGGACCTCGGAAAATCATCGGGTCCAGCCCCCTGCCCAAAGGGCAGGAAGTCAGCTGGGGTCATAGGATCCCAGCAAGATAAGCATCCAGTTTGCTCTTGAAGGTGTTCAATGTAGGCGCTTGAACCACCTCCGGCGGCAGGCTGTTCCAGACCTTGGGGGCTCGGACAGTAAAGAAATTCTTATGTCCAGCCTGAAACGGTCTTGTAGTAGTTTATGACCATTCGACCTAGTCGTCATCCCTTGGGGCGCTCTGGTGAACAAACGTTCCCCCAGATCCTGGTGGTCACCCCTGATAAACTTGTAGGTGGCCATCAGATCACCCCTGAGCCTGAGCTTTTCCAGGCTAAAGAGCCCCAGGGCTCTCAGCCTGTCATCGTAGGGTCTGCTTCCCTGACCTCTGATCATGCGCATGGCTCTTCTCTGGACTCTCTCAAGCTTCTCCACATCCTTTTGGAATTGCGGAGCCCAAAACTGGACGCAGTACTCCAGCTGCGGCCCCACTAAGGCCGAGTACAAGGGGAGAATGACGTCCCGGGATTTGCTTGAGATATAAGAAAGTATGATCCATCTATCCTTATTAACATATAACAGCCATAAGTATTATTAGTCTGCATCAACTTTTAGAACGTTTTAAGGATGTTATTCAAATGGATTCAACTACAGTCCTGACTAAATGTCTAAAACTTCATTCTTTTATGCTTATAACACTCTTCCTATAGCATAGTTGTCGCACTAAAACTTTTTGGCTTTAATGTCCTCAAAGTTAGACAGTGTTTGACCTAATAACTGTACTAAAATAAAACGAGCTACAGAGCATGAACACAGTGATTTTCATAATAATGATTTTAGCAATGACTGCACAGACACTGCCCAACTTCTTTTCTACACTTAAGTAGTCCCATTCCGTTCAACAGAACTACTGTACTCACATTTGCACTGCTACTCATGTCCAGTGTCTGCAGGAGAGAGCTGTAGGTAGATAACCATTAAAGCTCTTATCTGATACTAATCATAATCACAAATAAAACATTTGCATGGACTTTTTATTTAGGCCAAGAAAATCTTTTTATTTTTCTAAGAAAAAATGGACAACTCACATTAGTCTTTTCTAGAGATCTTCAGAATTCTATGGCAAGGACGTTATGCACTAGACATCTCTTACAGTAATTTCTATAAAGTCGTTTTGTATAATATGCTATAGGATCTTTGTCTCAGGGAACACACACAAACTTTAAATAAACTAAATGATGTTTAAGTCATTCTTTTTTTAACGTGGGTTCTTCCTTTTGTAAATGCAACTGCAAGGTGGAACACACTGATCTTAGAGATTTGCCTTTTCTGTTCTGGCTGATTCTTTTAGCTCAGTTTTAAGTATGCTGCCATTTTTTTTCTTATCCTTTACTGTATGCAAAAAGCTGCCCCAGGGTCAAACTAAAGCACTAAACAGGGTGTGACTTGGCTGCCGCAGGGTCGAACACATTACAGAGTAATCAAGGTAAGGAAACAGAAATAGCCAAAACTAAGGTGGATGCAAAACTCAAAATTCATTAATGAGCCCAAATGCACCCAATTTCCATACAGAATTCTGAAAGAACTGGAACACGGAAGTACAGGTCTGATAGCAAGTATTTAAAGAGATCTATCAATTAACAGGTACTATCGTAAGAGATTAGGAAATGTAGTACCTCTATTTAGGAAGGGGAAAAAGGGACATGAGCAACTACAGACCCATTAGTCTGTTTTCAATAGTATGAAAGACTTTAGAACAAATTTTGAAGAATAGAATTAAAGATGTAGAGGCAAATGGAAAAAAAATGTTTATAATCTGAATTTATCAATACTGGATCATGCTATCATAATCTGATAACAAATGTTCTAGACAAAGGAAATACAGTAGAATTCATTTATTTGGACACCAGAAAAGCATTTGATGAAGTATCACATGGAAAACTATTACGGAAGCTGGAAAAGGTAAAGATTAGCAGAGGAATTGTAAATTGAGCAAGGAAGGGGTTATAGATGGCAACAAGTAGGGCTGAAAGGGGAAGCATCAGATTGGAGGAAAGCTATTAACGGAGTTCCACAAGGATCAGTTTTGGGGCTGCTCTTGTTTAATATATTCATTAATGGCTTTAGCATAAGACCTAAAGTATGCTGATGAAATTTCCTGACAGAGTTGGGAGGTATTGTTAACAGAGGGGAGGATAAGAATATCATAAAGAAGGAACCAGACAACCCAAAAAACCAGAAAAGTGGAAATGGGATGGAAGTCAATAATTAAAAAATACAAGGTTATCAACCCAGGAACTAACACTAACTTCACTAATAAACTTGTGAGCTCATCAGTTGGAAGTGACTGAAAAGGAAGGCCCTTTGTGTGTGATCAAAGGATGTCAATGGCCTGCCATAGCATGCAGCTGCGAAAAAGGCAAATGAGATCCTAGGACATAAGATAACTTTCACAAAGAAAAAGCAAAGTCTTTTTACAAATGGCACTAGTATGTTGACTAGAAAAGGGGTGTCTTGACAGGTGGACATAGGAAGAGTTTGGCCAAAAAAAACAAAACAACAACAAAAACCTAATAACTGAGAAGGATTCTGATTGCTATCTATATACACACATCAGAGGGGTAAATATGTCAGGGACAGAATAGCTACTTAAACTGTAGGACTATAGTGGTAAAACAGACGGAAATAAATTCCATTTAAGATGGAACTCAGTAATTTTACGAGGAAAACCCATAACTGGTATATGCAATCAAACAGGAGATTGGATCAAGGGACCCAGGAGATCCCTTCCAGTCTTTGCATCAACAGTTGAATAATCCCTTCCTCAAAAATGTCAGGTAAATGAAGGATGAAAAAACTTTACGTACACACACATGTCATATTGAATGAAATAGTTTGAATGTTTGTAAAAGTTGCCCATTAGCCAGTTTCAGGAAGAAGATAGGATTTATCTCCTTATCTAGCTCATTGTTTTTGGGACTACGTGCAAAAGGTCCTGACTTCGTTTAAAGTCTTAATTTAAATTATCTTTAGAAGTCTTTTACAAAGAGAGCAAATATCCTGAGTTCCGAGAGATCAAACCCTAAGGCCTTTTAACAAGATTGGTAAGAAAAGGGCATTTGCAGTGATATGGAAGTCTCCCCAAGAGTAATTTAAAATGCTCAACAAAGGCAAAAGAATCTGTTGAGTAAGATCCGAGCCCAAATTTGGGAGTAGTGACAGGTTGAGTAGGAGGAGCCCATAGACAGCAGCTCACTCAATAAAAACTGTAACTTACTGTCCCAATTTGGAGGTGACTATACTTGCAGAACAACAAAGGAAGAATCGCAAGTGTAGGCCGGAACAGACTGATCACCTGAGCCACCCTCTCCATGAACATGAATCTCTTAGTTCACGCTGAAGCCGCGGAGCACCTGAAAGGGACTGAGGGAAGGGGACTTAGTCCTATCACTGCTGAGGCCAGCCTACTGAATTGTATTGCTGAGGCGAGCCCATTGAACCGTACTACTGAGGCCAACCCATTAAATCGTACTACTGAGGAATGAAACCATATTTTGGTATTTGGCTTCTCGGAATTCTAGGATTGTAAGTATATTATGAAAAATAATAGTATTGATTCAAATTTAACTTTTAGTTGTAATTGTAGTTGTTTTTGTAACACTAATTCTTATAGCATTGTTTGGGAAGGAAATGCATTCGGAGCATTGTTTCTGATATATGTAATTATTGTGTTTTTAATGTTTGTGGTGTTTCTTAAAGCTAAGCAGTGTTATATACGTAGTAAAGAGTTTTAAAATAAAATTGTGTTGTATAAATTAAGTGTGTAATCATTGTGAAATCGTGCAATCGGCTAACTACTCCCCCAGCCAGTGCATCAAAACGAATCAGTAAATTGTGTGGGATTTTCTCTGTTCCATAACCCACTAGAGACAACACACAAACACACAATTTATTTGCATCGATTTTTATGGGCACTGTTACAAATGTGTAATTTTTGCAGCAATGTGTTGTATATATATTTTTCTTTAAAATGGTATTCAATTTTAACCACTCTTACCTGATAAAACATCATGAGAACAGTTAACAATGGTAGTTCCAGGCTTTATCCAACTGACTGGAATCTCTTCTGGTTTGATGCTACCTATCACCATCACATCTGCCTGATGCAGCTATGAATAGCCAAAATGAAAACATTACAGAATTAGGAATTTTTAATGCACTGAAAAAATAACATTCTAATTAGTCTAAGTATTCAATAATTAGCCAGCAAACACCTTTTTCAGAAGTGAATGAAACAAATCCAGACTACTAAAAATTAACCAAAAGCTAGCCAAAATTGGACCCATGAAAGTGGTAAAACAAAATGTGAAGGCAAAAGACAAAAACATACAGCAATAATGCCCTCAAAGAATTTCAACTAAAGATTTTTTCCTCTTAATTCATGATTATCAATTGAAACAATTTGGCTAAGATTAATAGAATGAAGAACAATACACAGGATGACGGCAAAAATTCTAACAATAGACAAAAACATGAGCTATTTTCTCTTTCTTCCCTATTTCTCCATCTTCAGTAGAGTTCTGTAACAATTATAAGAATCTACATAAGATAAGGAAAAAACATTACAAGCACAGACAGACACATAAAGATACAGTAAAGGGGAAAGGAAAGCTCTGAACTGCAATAAGAAGTAAACACAGAAAATATTGAGGAACAGAGGAATACACAGATATGTAAATAAATGGCAAGTGTCACAAACTGACTTGTGACTGACACTACGCCTGCCTCTCTTTGTTAAATTTGCATTGATGCAGTCCTGCCTTTGTACTGATGCAAACCTTGACATTTCTGCCAAGAAACAATCGTTAAACATTCCAAGAGGGCCGTAGTTTTTAGCAAAAACCAGAGTCCAGGAGGGGAAGAGATGATGACTGTAGAAGAAATGGCAAAAGCTAAAAATGTTGTCTTCTCCATAGAAAAGACAAGAAAGGTCTAACCTTCCTCAGGGACTGGAATAAGGAATGAGTGTGGGAGAACATTATTTGCCAGAGAAATAACTGACAATTTGATTTAGATTCGAGATCTTTGCAAGACTACAACTTATTACAAGGCATTGTCTCATGACCCCTGCTGCCTCACTGGGTCTCGCACAAACTTGTGGATGTATCCAAGAGCAAGCTGCTTAAATACCTTTGCAAAATCTAAGCCTTAGCAACTCTAAATGCATATTATTTTTTTCATTTTCCACTAACTACACTACCTTCTGGCTTTCTAAACACAACAGCTGTCTAAACTCAGAGTCATTTAAGAGTGCACAACAGCCCTACAAGGCAGTAACTGTTAATAAATTTATTAGATTAAAGCTTTGTGTTAGAATTTATGAATACAGAAGTGTGTTTGCTGAAAACAGAATCTAGAAAGATAATCATTTTAAATCCCCAGACTCCTGGGAAGCACCATCTTTCAGGTGTTTAGCATTTTTAATTAATTAATTAGGCCTCATTTTTACATCTCATCCCATGCCATACCCAAAATACACAGCACTAAAGAACATGAGGCTGTTTTTCTGTATCTCCCTGGATTTTCCATTGGAGGTTTCCCATTTACACATTTACCTAGCACATCTTTTATCAGAAGACTACATGAACACAGGAAGGAGTAATTGCAATAAGAAACCAAATTTGCAATTTACCCACTTCAGCATCCTGTGGCTGACACCGGCTAGATTTGAGATGTTCCACAGGAAAGCACAAGAACCCTACAGTAGGCATAGGTAGAAAAATTTGACTCCAATGTAGGTCTCACCTAACACGTAGTAGTCTAGCAGTTGACTAAAGCCTTAAAGTATGGGGTATCAGTATTTCTTCTAAAATCTTTTGTCACTGACTCCTATAATAGCAGAATAGTTGTAAACATCCTCTGTAAATGTTATCAGGACTAAACAAAAATCGTGACCCCCCCAAAGGTTCAAAGTTAGCCGCATGTTGTAAGTGGCTTTAGTTTTGAATTTTCTGCCTTTCAATTGCACTATGCTCACTTCCCATTCATTAGGTTTATCTTGTCCTCTCAGTCTTCTTTTCAAAGATAAAATACCTAATTTTTTTTGGTTTATATTCACGAGAATTTTTTTCCATCCCTACAATTCTTTTTATTATTCTCTGTCCCTCTAATTTTGGAATATCCCTTTGATGACTGGACAATGAGTGATGGGGTCAGAATTCCCAGTGAGACTGAACCATTAATTCTAAATATATTCCTGCATTTGCAATCATTCTATGCATCCTAATATTTGGATTGCTATTTTTAAACTAAAAAGATGTTAGTTATGGCTTGAGAACATGGTCTGAGAAGTTATACGTGCAGACAAAACTTTTAGTTAGTTTTTTCAAGTGGGTTATTTTAAACATGCTCAAATAATATGAAAATTAATAACTAATGATTTTTTTAATTAATAGAGTCCTGCTAAATATATCTATCTACACATGCACATATACATGAAATGAAAAACTAGTAAGGAAGTGACATTAGGCTCTACTGTAATCTGGAGTGGGGAAGAGGTGGAAGGTTGGTTATTCATTTATAGTGGTACTGAGCTCTCTTGTGGAATCAATAAAATGAAAATCCTAGTACCTAAACTGGCCACTAAAACTTTGTCCTTCTGTGCAACATTGTTTGCTAAAGGAAGCTGATTCCAGTTCTTATGTTTTGCTTTCGTGCTGGTGATGCACGTTTTAGGAAATGCCTACTTCCTGTCCACGAGACAAGTTACTCTGATCGACTTGGAAAATGTTCTTGAGTGCAATTATACATCAACTGCAGCCCTAACTTTTATTCTAGGATACATCAATTAGACAGTCCATTGGCTCATCTATTACGTTTAAGTACTAGAATAGAAAAGAACAATCAAATTATATGTTGGTTTAACCTAAGCCTATTTTTGTGCACTTGAGTTGGCTTCAGGCTTTTATTTTTATTCCTTGCATTCTTCTTTTAAGATTTCAAAACTGTATCTCTCCATAAAAAATGGTAGTACAGAACATACACTTCCTCCCTTAATTGGACAGACATGCCAATATTGCAAATGAAGTGAAAGACAGCAAAGGAAGCACATAAACTCAGGATGTAAATGTCTTCCCTCCAGCATAGCGATCAGGTAGATTTTGTCTGGTAAATTGTCTCTGTGTGCTATGGATCTTATTAAGGAGCAAAACAGGCTTACCTAATCAGAGACTCAATAAAATTGGAAAATTGCACATCTTTTTCATTATCTTCTTTTCTTGTGTCTAGTTTTTTCTTGTATACGGGTTTATGCATTTTATCCAATGAGATTATTTAATACAAAACACAGAAACAGCCTTGAAAGCAAAGACCAGAACCTAAGGTCCCCCAGTTCCCAGGCTTCTCTGGAAGACAGCAGATATGAGTTTTAACATTTCTCCACCTCTTTCCCACTCCCTATCACAGTCCCTCTCCAGCCTGAGGCAAGAATAGAACCCAGAGTTCCCTTTTCCTGGGAGAGATCTTTCACTGAAACAATGAACAGCTCCTCTTCTGGTAACCATGTCAGAAAATAGATCCAGTAACCTATAAACAAAGGGATACTTATGTGTCTAAGCCTAAGTCTCAAGCTCTAAATCCCAGTCTAACATAGGCACGGAGAGCGGGGGGTTTTCTGACAAACTCCAGAGGAGGGCCCACCTGCATGATCAGGGGGCAGCAGGGCAGGCCCTATGAGGAGAGGCTAAGGGACCTGAGCCTGTTCAGCCTCCACAAGAGAAGGCTGAGGGGGGGGATCTAGTGGCCTGTTACAAACTAGTCAGAGGGGACCAGCAGGCATTGGGGGAGTCCCTGTTCCCCCAAGCACTACCAGGAGTGACTAGAAATAACGGTCACAAGCTGGCAGAGGGTACATTCAGACTAGATATCAGGAGGAGCTACTTCACAGTCAGGACGGCTAGGACCTGGAACCGACTTCCAAGCGAAGTGGTGCTGGCTCCTACCCTGGGGGTCTTTAAGAGGAGGGTAGATGAACACCTTGCTGGGGTCGTTTGACCCCAGTACTTTTTTCTGCCATGGCAGGGGGTCGGACTTAGTTTCATAGTTGGTAGGGTCGGAAGGGACCTGAGCAGATCATCAAGTCCGACTCCCTGATGATCTGCTCTTGTCCCTTCCGACCCTACCAACTATGGAACAGAGACCAACCTGAACCACACATTTACACAGTGCTAAACATTCTGAAGTCCTGAACTGGTTATGACCCGTATACATTACTGCAACAACCCATAAACACTAACAATTCTGAAAAATCTTCAGCTGATTTATTTGATCAATTCTGTCATATGCAATTACAAGGTTGAAAAACAGTTGACCCGACTAAACATTCTCATTTCTATGACTACAGATCATAACACTGCAAACCCTTAACAAGTGTAATGCAATAAATTTTGTAGCCAATGTTAACAGCAGTTTGGACGGCCAATATCACACATATCTGTAAATATATATTTAAAAAAAAGATGGATTTTTTCATGTGTATGTAGTTATGTCATATGTAACAGACTACTTTCCAGTGTGTGGATGATTTATACACATCTGTATACCCCCTCTCCCACTGATTTCCTTTCCCCATCCCAAAGAGAAAGCAAAAAATAAAAACTCCTCTGTAATAAAGGAAAATACACTACTTGCAAGCTTTTTAAAAAATTCTGAAGAAAACTAAAAGCTGAAATATGCAAAATATATTTTAAAGCCTTTTAATTGTTAAAATGGAAAAAAGTTAAAATACAATTAATTTTCTATAAACTTGACTGACAGATTGATCCCACTGAAAGTTAAATATTTGTTTTACACAAAGTTGAGAGGCTCTGAAAAAAGGTTTACATAAACCCCATCAGGACATTTAAGTTTCACTTCACATAAGTTTTTCCTTTTTTCTTTTCCCTAATCTGTTCTCTTGACTGCTTATAAATCACTGGGAAAAGCTTAAAGAGGCATGGTGAGGACTAATCTCCTAAATCAGAAATAAATCTGACATTAGAGACGGAAAAGACCTGTGAAATCACCAAGCCTCACCCCCCCAGCAAATGTACCATGTAGTCCCTGGACACAGAGCGCATCAGATTAAACACAGATGCTACACGGGATCGTTACCAAAAGGCCAAGACAATAT